TGATGCCACAGTACTATACCCAGGGGGACAGCTTGAGGCTCTGTCTCAAAGGAAAAAAAAAAAGACTGTAAGTCAAGATACATATTAAAAAATATACACTTTGGCTTGGTGCCTGTGGCTAAAGCAGCTAAGGCGCCAGCCACATATACCTAAGGTGACAGGTTCGAATCCAGCCCTGGCCCACCAAACAACAATGACAGCTGCACCCAAAAAATAGCATTGTGGCGGGCGCCTGTGGTCCCAGCTACTTGGGAGGCTGAGGCAGGAGACTCGCTTGAGCCTAGGAGTTGGAGGTTACTGTGAGCTGTGATGCCACAGCACTCTACCCAGGGGGACAGCTTGAGGCTCTGTCTCGAAAAGAAAAAAATATATATATATACATACACTTTATGCTGGGAATGTACAGTGTTTCACATTAAAATAATGAGTAAGCCCAAGGGAAACCCACATAAATATTGACACTATGTATGAGATGCTAATACTGCAGAGGATCATGCTTTCCATTGCTTAATTTAGCAATTGTCTCAGAACACAGGCAGGCAGTCCCCGGGTTATGGACCTGATATGTTCCTGAGAACATCCTTAGATCTGATTTGTATGTGTGGAAGTTGAGTTAAGTGGGCTTTCTCACCTGAAGGGCACTGGGTGCCTGATTGTTTTGAATAACTGTGATTAAGCTGGAAGATGCCGTGTGTTCCTAAGTAGTCTGGTAACATGATACCTCCTGATTTGTTCTTATTTCTGAGTAGTGTATTTGCTATTCAAGGTTTTTTCTGATTACATATAAAACGAAGTACCGTTTTTTCAAGTTGTTTAAAGTATGACAATGATGCTTTAATAGGGATTGCATTAAATCTGTAGATTGCTTTGAGTAGTATGGACATTTTAACAATGTTGATTCTTCCCAGCCATGAGCATGGTATGTTTTTCCATTTGTTAACATCTTCAGCTATTTCTTTTCTCAGAGTTTTGTAGTTCTCTTTATAGAGAGCTTTCACGTTCTTTGTTAGGTAAATACCCAGATATTTCATCTTCTTTGGCACTATTGTAAAAGGAATAGAGTCTTTGACTATATTTTCGGCTTGACTATTGTTAGCATATATAAAAGCTACTGACTTATAAGTATTGATTTTGTATCCTGAGACACTGCTGTATTCCTTGATCATTTCTCAAAGTTTTAAAGTTGAGTCCCTCGGATTTTCCAGGTATAGGATCATGTCATCAGCGAAGAGTGAGTTTGATCTCCTCTGACCCTATTTGGATACCCTTGATCACCTTGTCTTGACTGATTGTGATGGCTAAGACTTCCATTACTATGTTGAATAGCAGTGAAGACAGTGGGCATCCTTGCCTCATTCCTGATCTGAGTGGAAATGTTTTCAATTTTACACCATTCAGTATGATACTGGCTGTGGGTTTGCTATAGATGGCCTCTATAGCAAATTAGGCCTCTACATCAGTTTAAGAAATGTCCTTTCTATGCCTATTTTCTTAAGAATTCTGATCATGAAAGGATGCTGGATATTATCAAAGGGTTTTTTTGTGTCAGTTGAGAAAATCATATGGTCTTTGTTTTTTATTTTATTGATGTGATGTATTATATTTATAGATTTGCATATGTTGAACCAAACCTGTAACCCTGGAATAAAACCAACTTGATCATGGTGTATAATTTTTCTGATGTGTTGTTGAATTCTGTTTGCTAAGATCTTATTGAATATTTTTGCATCAATATTCATTAATGATATTGGTCTGTAAT